CTCAAATTTCCGCCTTTGACTGTCATTGAATGATGGATTATTTTAGTATGCTAATTTGTGGCTCTTCCTAAGGCGTTTCTATCAGGTATGAATAAGCTTTTTTCTACGTCTTATCAAGACTTCTTGCTTTAGTTAGCCGGGGCTGAGACAAACTGATTAGAATAGCCTATCCTATCGCTGAGTCATTGCTTCCGTTCCGTTTACTGAGTAAAGTGAACTGGTAAGAGCATTTTTTGAGTACACTATTTTATGGCTCTACCAGGGGCGTTTCTACCATTGTATGGATAAGCTTGATTTGTGTGCTTAGACACCTCGAATTTTCTGGGTTCCTGTAGAATACATTCACCATTCTTTATCAAGACTTCTTGATCTAGATAGCACGGTCGGGAACAAATGGATTAGAATAGCCTATCGTGTCACCACTGTACCATTTGTCTTCGCTCCCGTCTATCGAGTAAGGTAAACTCGTAATAGTTTCAAGCATATCAGAAAGAAATAGCACCAGTAAGGCAGTGAATGTTGTTTTATACTATCGTCCTTCGATTATTACTTGCAATTCAGACCATTGAAGACTCAATTATTGGACTACAGTAATATGGTTTAGGCAGATTAAATTCAATACAAAGGTCAAGATAGTTCTACTGTGTGAGACGGAAACTTGTTAAACTATCAATGCCAACATCCACAAGATACAAGTATTCATTAACAGCTTTCTACGCAAAGTACTTCGGATATGTTGGCAAGACACCATCAACAACAACACACTGTGAGAGGGAGAAAACCAGATGCAAGTGGAAGAATAAATCAGGAAGAAGCGCCTGAAGCGGATAAGACACACACTGAGGAAAGCACCCAATTGTGTCACAAGACAAGCCCTTACTTGGAACCCTCAAAGCCGAAGGAAAACAGTAAGGCTAACCAACACATTAGGCCGAGAAATGGAGACAAACATGAGAAGAATGATCAAACGTTGGACAGAACTGGAAAGGGAAGCCTAGAATAGAGTAGGTTGAAGAATACTAGTCTACAACCTATGCTCATTTGGGGTTAACAGGCACGAATAAAGTAAGTAAATGTGAATAAACACAAAAGATTCTCCTAATATCCACTAATTATTTAATCTGAACTACTGTTTTTTTTCAACATTAGGTTTTTCGGTGCCGATTCATAAGAACATGAAAAATTGTGATGGATGTCTTAAAAGCAGAAAAATGAATTTTCATGTTATTGTAGTAGTACCTCAACATCCCGATAAATACCACATAATATGTTCATTTGAATCAATAAATTGCACTATACTCCATGAAATGTGATCATCTTTTTCTACTATACGTACGCAATGTATTGAAAAGTTGTCGCTAACTGGAAACAAAGGCCAGTATTGCAATAAGTTCACACATAAATCCATGTAATTTATCCTTGAAAAATTCTATGAATCCTTTAGAGAAATAATTTGTCACTTAGAGGATGCTGATTTCCAGTTTTTACGGTCCTTAATCGAATCAAATGAATAGATACTTATAACCATGAACCATTTCACCAAAGTCACAATTACCTGTTTATGATAAATTCAAAAATATGCAAACAGACTAGATAGTTGGTTGAAATTACAAAGAAACGAAATCGAAGACTTTTAGTTGCTGAGAACGATGTTGTCTTCTAGCCTAACCCAACAGTTTAGTCTTGAAGAAACCATTATCCTCCTTGATGACTAGATCAGTACGAAATTCAAAAAAGGGCTCGGTCTACAGTAAGTGCTAAAGTTGTGCTTTCAAAATAAAATACGAGCTCCACGATCATAAAACTCGTAGAACACTTCTTCCTCTGAGAAACAAGAACAAATATTTTATATCAGAAATGTATTGAATAAAATTGAGTTTGACATGTAGATGTCGAATATTTAGTGAGAACACCTACAGTAAAACGATTCGCTGTTACAATTTTTAGTTATTTTTAGGATAAACCTAATAACACTTCTGAAGAGAAAACCGAGAGTAGCATAAAAATAGAATAATTTCAAAATCAGCGATTTGTGCAAAGAATCGTGGGACGCTTAAAATCACATAGACTAGCTGAGTAACAGCTAGAATAAATGTTAGTCGTAATGTAAAAAAAACTTCTGATCACTCTACAAATTCATAGAAAGCGAAAAAGAATGAACAGAATAAGATCTACTAATCATGACAAACAAATGATTTTATGACTAAGCCAATAAAAGTCATCAATAAAGGTTTGAGTAAGTGTAAGTGAGATGCCTAAAATATTGAATAAAGTTATGGCGTAATGTTTAAATGTTACATCACCATAAATATTTCCTGACCGTACCTGCTTTCTTGACCTTGTGGTCTCAGTTACACCAGTATTCGCTTGTGGATTAATATTTTCAGTTCATTTATTTCATGCATATTGTGTCCACCATCTATTGTTTGTCACGTGATAATTTCCTTTGAATAGAACGTTTGTGATATATGTTCACAAAACCGTGTAAACTTTATTTTCAACATTCGACTACTGACCCCTGATGGATCAACATAATACTGAGTTGGTTGGAAAATGCATGCCAAAGCTCCGACGCTCTCACGGCCACAACCTGATCATCCCTGATCAAGGATACACGTCGACTTCGCGGGCACAATTAATGGAACTGTGTATCTAGCTGTGGCCGACGCACTTTCATGATGGTCAGAAATCAGCCCGCTAATGCTGCCAACGATAACTTAAACAGTAGTGCTCCTCACCGAAATATTCTTTCGAAACGGCATGCCAGATGTGATTGTATCTGACAATGGGTCGCAAGTTATCTCCAACTAATTGCAAGCTTTCTGTCAACGGCTAGCTATCAAGCACTTACGATCGCCACCGTACCACCCGCAGTCGAATAGACATGCGGAAAGGTTTGCGGATACATTTAAAAGAGCATTAGTTAAGTCAAAGGGGTAAAGGATACCATCAGACGAGTTACAAAATTTCTCCTACGTTAATCGAACAGCGCCAAACGAGATGTTACCGGAGCAAAGGTCCCCGACAGAAATCCTGATGAGAAGAAGACTGAAAACGATCCACAGCCGGATGCATCGGAGTAATGCACCAACAGCAGTGGAGACAAAGTCTTAAAAACAATCCACGTATGAAGTGGGATGTCCTGTGTTTGCCCATGATTACACACCAAACCATGATCTATTAAAAGAAACGCGAGTGTTCGGAAGAGGAGGCGATTCAGATGGTCACGCCATCAAAATCATATAGACAAACGGCTAGCCTCAAGTCACCCATAAACAGGAGTAAATCTTCCTCTTGACAGTATGCTAGATACCTTCAATTTACCAACAGCGCCACCACGAGTAAATGCTCAACAACAAGCTGATCTCCGTTCCAGAAGGTGACTTCTCCGACAGTGACGAACAGCAATCAAGTTTCAACTTGACCCTGGGAACATACGCTATTAAAAGGGGAGGAGTGTTGGGGACGAAAGATCCCCAAAACTCACTCGGCAAAGGCCCTAATTTTGTTATTTATTTCTGAAATTTCTAACTTCTGTGTTTTATCGCCAAGAAACCCTTAGTTTCCGACAACTTACGTTTCACACTCAGAAATCTTTGACCGTCATCGGTTGACGGATTTTTTTACAACGCTATTTTGTGGCTCTTACAAGGGCGCTTCTATCATTGTATAAGTAAGCTTGATTTGTGTGTCTAGCAACCTCGAATTTTCTGGGTGCTTGTAGAATGCATTCTTTACACCTTATCAAGATGTCTTCCTCTAATAAAAGGAGCCTGAGACGATCGGCTTAGAGTTGCCTATCACGTCGCTGAATCATTGATTTCGCTCCGTTTACCAAATACGTGAATTAGTAATAGTTTAATCATATCAAACTGGCGAACATACCACAGTCTTAAATGATGCTGTATAAAATAGTTCGCACTATTTTCTTATTCCTAGTGATCTTTCTGCGTCGTTTCTAATTCAACTTTATTGACCACGTTTTGTCAAACTAGACTTATAATTCAAATATCAGTATGAAACTAATTCAGCTACTTATCCAAGATTAGATGTAAGGATGAAACAAGAAATAAATAGAATTTGAAATAAAATTTAGTTTCTATTCATTTGCTTGTGTTCACTACATAAATTCAAAGGACTTGTTTAGGATTTCAGAATACATAGCCTAACCTAGATGTGTAGTTAAACAATTTATTGTAACTGAGTATGGTATTTTAGAATTTTTCTTATTTACCTTTTTACGTTTTACAAATGATCAACAAAAGTCTCAGCTATCGTCTTAGCTAAGTACTTTTCCTAATCATAACCATGAATAAACCAATCCGATAAATCCTTTGAAATTTGATTTAACTTAATATAATAAGCAGTTGTAGATTCTTTGTATTTATAGGTCACTTCAGTTATTTGTTCATCAATTTCAACTTTACATCTCTCCGTCAATCCCTTCTTTGACAGCAATTAGACATCAATTGAAACAAATCATATTTGGCAATAAAATGTACAGCCAATCGAATGAAAGAAACATTGTACATTGAACCAATCAAAAAATTTATTCTTCATTGTTGGTAATAATTATGATTACTGTTATTTTCTATAAAAGCATGGTATACAGTTTTTGAAAATCTCGACATACGCAGGCAATTTGTTGATAATTGTTTATTAAAATTTTTTTATAAATAATGCTCATCAGGTGGAAAATTGAACATTTACTTATGGAATATACACAATTTGAAATAAATTCCTAAAAGGAAAAAAATATACGGATTACATAATCAAGTACAATGTAGTAAAACCGGTAATTTTCAATTATGATGCTCAAAAAAAATGTAACATACACTTGAATACAGATGCTTAATGATATGAAATAAACTGCAGATTTGTAAAAGTTCCAGAGAAATCCGCTTACCGAACTTAGTTGTTGATTTTTCGCGTAGATGTGTAAATATTTTGATTTAATACTCATTCTCACAATATATCACTTTATTCATCTTACAGAACGAATGGTACAACCATTTGTACTGAATAATAAAATGATCAAACCTATTGATCATATCAACAATGAATTCCGGAAATCTAATGATCAGTCTGCATTTGTGAGTATAAACAAATCCAAATCAGTATTCAATAATAATAGTGTACCGAATTTATTTCGAACATCATATTTTCATTGGGATGATTCCAGTGAAACTCAGTATTATAGTGATAAAATTGTACATGAAGGTAAGATTGATGAAAAATAATCAATAAGAATGAATCTGTGCAAAAACATCTTGATTGTGGATTACATAATTACTGTTTAGATTTTACGATGTGTATATATTATTTGAAAGATTTTGAAATTTCATGATAGTACCAGCAATGTTTTGTCCGTTTAATCTTAGTTTTGTGGACACGAAACTTTTGTTCTGTTCTTCCGACGTACATGCTTTGAAACTTACACCTTAAGTGGTAAACACAATGGAAGCTAACATATTTGATTGTTGCAGTGAGCATCTGGTTCGCTAAAGATATACTAACTTAGTTGCTGGATAAGTTCTTATTAGCATAGCTTTCAGTCTAAAATCAACCCTCATAGTAATGTGTTGTCCGTTTAGTCTTAGTTTTGTGGACACGAACCTTTCGTTCTGTTCTTTCAAAACATACGTTCAAAGTGGTAAATACAATGAATGCTAACATAAGGTCGATCGATACTTGTCCACATATGATGAGTATCGGGTTCACTAAAGATACACTATCTTAGTTGATGGATAAGTTCTTATTAGCTTAGCTTTCAGTCTAAAATCCACCCTTACAGCTATTTAAACGCCTTTCAAATCAAGTTTAACAAGATGAAACTTTTTCTTCACCGAAGAATAACACATTTCCTTTTACCGATTGTTCGATATTTATTTAAAAACGTTTCTGCGAATAACTGTTCTTATGTAAGCAATGTCCCACTATTGCAAATTTCTTCTCAACTCTATCCTCAGAGAATAATCTACGCACACGGTAAAATTGCACTCTAAATAAAGTTCTTTTGCAGCCTACTGGGAAGAAGCTATGTGAGTTTAAGTGTAATCCGCTTGATGTATCTTGTCAATAAATGTATCTTTCTAACTGTATATTTGAATTACGTTTATTACTCATTCGCATTCATTATCAACAACAACCTAAAACTTCGTACATACTTATGTACATAAGTTTTCGTTGTCATACCACATTAGCACAGAGATGCAGATGTCAGTTCAAATTCCATTGTAGTAGGGGTATTAAAGGTATAAGCAGTAATCGGAGAGATTAGGGTTCGAGGATATTTTTCAAGAAGCAGGATCCAGTGAAATAAACCAAAAAACAAATCGAGGTAATGAAATAATCTGAAGGTTGGGATTTCAGTGCACACTAAGAATGAATGCACCTACGTAATTGCAAACGGTTTCGAGCCATGTCATTTAGGGTCTCTAACCATCGATTTCTAACATCTCACGAGACCCAACACTTACCAATATAACTCTACACAAATGATTGAATAATTTGCAGTGCAACATACGCCATGTTATATTGAGCAAAACGCCTAAAACACGTGTTGTAATAACTAGGTTACATGTCATATTACATAAGTCTTATTTTCATATTAATTACAAATAAATAAGGTTGAACACTACTTTTATGAATGCACAGATCGTAAACCTTTTGAATTCAGTAGTAAGATGAATTAAATAGAAAAAAATATCACAATATTATTAGTATCAATTTATCAACATGATAAATTAAACATAAATAAAGTTCCGTAATAATGTAGTTTTAGTTGTTTGATTGAATAATATGAATTGTAGAATTTAGGACGTTGTGATAAGCAAAATAAACGTACAACGGAAAAATTCACAGTTAGTAGTAAATCCTGTGAAATATTACTGTTCACTGTAACTTGACTAAATTTAAAACTACAATTCAAATGTTTTTTTTTTAATTTGTAATCTATTTCGATGTTTAATTACATGGCTTTGAATATAACTGTAATCATTACGTAACATCATTCTTTTACCGATTCAATAAGGAAAAATAACGTTAAATAGAATAATTACCTGCCAGTTATGTATAGATTGATTCATATTCAATATATATATATATATATATATATATATATATATATATATATATATATATATATATATATATATATATTAATTATGTAATGACTGTACATTGAAATTAGAACAAACTGAATATTGAATATTGAAAAGAGTTTATTCGATAATAACACTGTAATCACTACTACAATGAGACTGTCTTTATGAAAAATACAACAGTAGACTCGTATTCTCTATTGAATAAATTCTTGAAATGTTTCTTAGATTATATGCATAGTTCACTCTTAATGAACAAAATAGTCAGATATTTTTTCAATAACACAAATATGTCTTTTTAATACTACTTTATTTTAAATAAACATAAAATAATAATGTTATTTAACACGGTATTTCGATTGAATATGAATCTCATTTAGTCTAAAGTTTTACGGACTGGATGGAGAATCTCTGTCTTTCTCTCAAGCAAAACATCTTTGAATAGTGCTAAAAATGGAGTTTATATCATGATACAATTAGTTTAGGCTAAAATCCGAAAACATTTTCAATTATGCTGTTATAATTATATACAAGTATTTCAGTATTGGTTAACTGCTTTGTAGTACGGAATCCTCAATTGGGTATTTACAGACGCATCGGTGATCGAATTCAAACATACTTCCTAACTTACTTACGCCTGTTACCCCTAGTTTTCTCCAACCTACTCTAACCTGGGCTCCCGTTTCCGATTCTACTCAACCGCTTTTCATTCTTCTCATGCCTGTCACCATTTCTCTGTGTAATGTGTTCCTTGGCTTTCCACTTTTCCTTTGTCCATGAGGGTTCCAAGTGAAGGTTTGCCTTGTGATGCAGTTGGGTGCTTTATGCAATGTGCGTCCTATCCACTTCCAGAGCTTCTTCCTGATTTCCTTCTTCACTCGAATTTGGTTTGTTCTCTCCCACAGTTCATTGTTGTTGATGGTGTCTGACCAAAGAATCCGACGTATTTTGCGTAGAAAACTTGTAATAAATACTTGTATCTACTGGTAGATGGCTTTGCTAGTTCCACAGTTTCCATCCCACACAGCATAACAGTCTTTACATTTATATTGAATTCAAGCTCTTCAGACCATATTAATGTAGTTCATTAATTTAGTTTTCAGTGGTCTGTATTTCAATGAATATTAGAGTGACGATATTATAAAAACATCATTCATTACTTCATTAGTGATATTTCTTTTTGATATGCTTGAACTGTTATGAATTCATCTATTTAGTAAATAGAGCGAAATCAATGATTCAGCGACTTGATAGGCTATTCTAATCCATTTGTTCCTGGCCCTGCAATCTAGATCAAGAAGTGTCTCTATAAGGCGTAGAGAACCTTATTCTACAAACACCCAGAAAATTCGAGGTTGCTAAGCACACAAATCATGCACTTGGGAGAGCCACAAAAGAGCGTACTATAGAAATCAGTCAACCGATGATAGTCAAGGATTTCCGAGTAGGAAATGTAAGCTGTAGGTCAACTAAGCGTCTCTTGGCGCGAAACCATAGAAATTCGAAATTTCAGCAATAAATTACAATATCAGAACCTTTTCCGAGTGAGTTCTACAGATCTAACCTCCCAGACACTTTCGTTTGATCTAAAACTACGAATTCGTCAAACGTTCTCTATACAAAAAATCAATTTATCACAGACAATAATATATTATTAACTAATATAAAGTGTCCAATTGTACTTAATTTCAAAAAAACAACATTGCAAAATAAAGTTTAAAATTCTATCATGCAAATATGTTGTAAAATTTCCAAAAAAAAGTATATTTGAATCACTATATGAAAATAAACATTGAACATCTTCAGTTAAGTGTAGGTAAAACTAATCAATAATTGCTTTGCTTTATAAATAGGCTTGATATTTGAATACTATTCTAGATGATTACAGTTTGTCTCAGACTTGTGTATGACATTGAAAATAGACTGAGTTAATAACAAAATTTATGTATTATCAAATGAAATGAACCATTATTTTTGAAATATCCGATGAAATATTGTTTAAATAATGATGAAAGATGATTTCATACTGATAATGGTTGCTCTTTTGGAATGATAAAAATGTATACAGTTAGTTTCTTTGAAACAGTATTTCGTTTAAAAACTACACGCATCATTTCAATTTTGTTGTAATTTGACTTATGTTCAAAGACATAGATTTGATCAAGTTAGACATTAACACCGTTGGATACCGGCTCAGTGGTCTAACGGTTAGGGTGTTCGCGCACAATACCGAAGGTCCTGGGTGAGAATCCTGATGGGTGCAGGAGTCGTGGATGCGCACTGCTGAAGAGTCCTATAACAGGACGAATAGGCCATCCAGTGCTTCCAGGTTTCTAATGGTGGTCTAACATTGATAGATACATGGTTTCAAAAATGTGTAATTTAACAATCTTCACAACCCCGCAATGTAAAATAGATAGTTCAATTAAAAAGCACTTTTTGTCATATGAAATGATGTCAATATTTCAACGGACATAAATGCAATTTAATGATAATTTTTACGTAGAATACAAAAAGATGATAAATTGTTTTCAAATACTTAAGCTACGGATGTTGACTATTAGCTAAATTTGAGTCATTATTTAATAGCATCTTTTCATTTATAAACGCTTTTCGGCATTATGTGTTTTTACACACTGAAATCATCAATCAATCATTTCTAGATCACCATTAGAAACCTGAAATCAATGAACAGCCCTATTCGTCCTGGTATGGGACTCATCGGCAGTGCGGATCCACAACTTCATCCACTTGTAGTATTCAAACCCAGGACCTCCGGTCTTGCGTCCGAATTCCTAACCACTGAGCCAACACGAAATAGTGTTAACGCCTAACTCTGATCAATCTAGGGATTTTGTCTAGGATTTATTAATTTGAGAGTATATATGTCACGAATTTTCAAAATTGTATTGTGATTAATAACTGCAGGAATACTTTAAGAAAACTATCTTCGAGCATATTTTTACTGATAGTAAGTAAAGTAAACTTTAAATACATAAAAAAGTGTTAAACTTCTATTATTAAAGCGCTTTTTCAGAGTTCCTCCAAACATCCACCAGATAGATTTTATAAAATCGAAATCTGTGATCAGTTACAATAGTAAATTTTTATATTGCA